CTTATAAATGGATGTAGATTAAAGATAGGGATTACATAAAAGCATTGTTAAATTAATACCGTGAAGCACAAAATTAAGAAACAAAACCACTTTTTTATTTTTTTTATTGCATATTTTATTACTTTTTAAATAAAACTACCACAGGCAGGTGTTTAATTTGTTAAGTTTTTTACTCATTTTTATTTGATATTCACTTAATTAGAAGTTATTAGTTGAACATCGCACTTTAAATTGCGTTTTATTATCATCCTTTTTTACTTACATTTTTTTAACATTTTTTAAATATAATATCGATGTATTTTTAAAATTAATAAACAGTGTGCTGTTAAATAACATTAGTATATATTATAAGTAAATGTAATTAATGGAATTGGGCAATAAAAGGCTATCTCTTAAGCGTCAGGTACCCACTAAATGTGAAAAAAATTATAAAATGACTTATTCAAGTTCCTTTCACTCCTCGCAATTGTGTGTTTGACCTCATACGAAAAAAATGATGCTATTTAGTATACTAAACAATTTCATAATAATTATTTATTTTTGATTAATTCAAAGATTTTTAATTATAAGTTTTCATATATAATACTTCAGTTTAATCATACTTACCTTCTGGGCAACTTCAATCTACGATTGTATTGCATAATTTTTTGATTACCCATACAATTGCTTTTTTGTGCAATTTTTGCAATGGCTGTATTAAAATGATATATCACTAAAAAATTAATCTTACAAACAATTAAGGCTTTTAATTCCAAATCATGTAAATGAATGTAAAAAAAACTCTAAACTAAAAGTTGTTTAATTTTTTGACCAGACTTATTAATTAGCTAAATTTGTTATTGAATTTAGCAAAGTGAAAGCTTTCTTTGCCCCCACCGAACGATGTTCGTTTTTTCGTCCCACGCTCTCTATAAATTGACATTTGCATACTACAAAATCTTCGCCGCCTATGATGTTTTTCATTATTTAACTGCTGCATTCAAACCATGTATCATGGTTATTTTAATTATTTTGTTATTTAGTTTTTTATTTAGAATTGGTTGTTTTCCTAATTATTTGTGCTAGGTATTATTTTTAGATATGAAGGGGTAAGAAGCAAAAGCGTGCAAGTGCAAAAAGAGAAGTGGATGTATTAACTTTTAAAGTTTTTGCTATATGTATACAAAAATCTGGATACTCGTTTTAATATTTTTGTTTGCATTAATCAACAGGCAAAACTTCTACAATTTTCACTTTATAAGAAAATTTAAAAAATAGTGGACTCAATTCTGCACTTATTTTCGTGCTCACCTCTTTATAAATATGTTAATTTAATACATTTTATAATTTCTTGTTTTATAATTAAATTAATTATAATTTAGTTATTATTTTAAATCCTAGATTGGCAAATTATATTTTATATACAAAGCTTTTAATTTTAATTTAATTTTATTTTTATAATTACACCAGGATAACCTTCCTAGGGTAGTTTGGGTGCGCTGATTTCAAAAATGATTTTGCTCAATTAGCTTTTGTTTTGCTTTATTGTGAAAACTCTGTTTCGACTTGTTATATATATACAGTATGGTGTCCCAAAAAAAAAGAATATAGTTTTTTCTTGTCTCTTGTAAAAATATGTTAGTTTATCATGCTGTGAGAGCCCTTTCAAAATATCAGCTCGATTAAAAATTTTGTATGGGTCGCTCAAGATTTTTAAAAATTTTCAAAATGGTCAAAAATTGAATTTTTGTTTTATTTTAATTCTTTTTCTCGTCTCGATATTATTTTTTAGGTTAAAAATAATAAAAATTCTGTAAATTTCAAATCAATATTTTGATTTCTAAAGGTCGCTAAAAGTTCGTTGATATTTATATTCAGAGGTCGCTCGAAAACATTCAAAATACTCTACTTTGAAAGTTAAAAAAATCTTGAGCGACCTTTAGAAATTAAAATATCGATTTGAAATTTTCAGAATCATTAGTATTTTTAAATTAATAAATAATATCGGAAAGAGAAAAAAAATTAAAATAAAAAAAAATCCAATTTTTGACGATTTTGTAATTTTTAGCGACCCCTAAACATTTTTTAATGGTGCTGATATTTTGACAGGGCTCTTAAAACATGACAAACCAACATATTTTCACAAGAGACGAGAAGAAAAAAATATTCTTTTTTTTTGGGACACAGGATACAGGGTGAGTCATTTAACTTGAAACTTTGAAATATCTCAGTTAGTATGCATTTTACGAAAAATTGTTTAAAATAAAAATTAAACGAATCAATCAGTACTAAAATTGGTCCTCATATTCTGCTCCTTATAGGGGGAGCAGGGGGTAACTTTAAAATTTCCAATGGAACACCCTATTTTTATTGCAGATTCGGATCATTCGACTAAAAATAGGTAGATTTTGTCGAAAACATTTTTTCATATTTGTAATGGCGCTGTAATGAAAAAAAAAAATTTTGTTCGATTTTTCTTCTGTATACGATTCTCCAATAATTTTTGAATAAAGTACTTGGATTTATTTTTTAAATTTATTTATTTATTTTTTAAATTTATAAATATATATATATATATATATATATATATATATTTAATTAATAACAATATTAATTATTTGCTCGACACTCCCGTTTGTAGTAAACTGCTTGATTGTACGGTGAAAACGCTGAGCGTAGATATTAACAGCATCTCTATAAATCAAAATCATTTCTATTTTTTCTTCCACTGTTAAAAAATCCATTATGAATAACTGCTTAACGAAAGGAGGTTTTTTTGTTTACAAATTAATCTTCGAACGAAATTGATTAAATAATTCTAAACTATGTATAAATAGTTTCTTTATACCTCAATAATAACACAGCCACACAAAAAAAATTTTGTGTTCTGATCTGGGGGCCTGACCATATTTTCTATATATTTTTGGGGTCGCTGAATCCGAATCCGAGGTCTATTTAACCCCATCACATCAGGATTTTGCCATAACCTTAAAAAACCCATCATATAAGCTATTACTATATATAACCCTGAGAATGTGGTTTTAATATAAAAATCCAAGCTTTTAAATATCACAACTTCATAACTCACATAATTCCATAACCCCATAACCCATTTAACCTCATAACTCAATGTACATCAACCACGTTTGTCAGATATTTAACTTATAAGTTATTATAATATGTACGTTATTTTAATAACCGCATAACTTTAGTCTCTTCAAAGCTAAATGTCTGAGATACGGAACTGTTGGAATTGATGTTGATGGGGTTAAATGGGTTACAAGGTTATGGGTTTAAGTGGTTTATGGGATGGGGTTAAAATGGTTATTGGGTTTAATAGCTTGGGTTTTTAGATCACAATTTGATCCTAAGGATTATATGTTTAAATAGATGATGGGGTAAGTGGGTCATGGCGTTAAGTGAGTTTTAGGCTTATAGTGTTTAGGAGCTTCGGTTTTTAGACAACAACTTAATATTTAGGGTTATATGCGTTTAATAGCTTAAATTATAGATTTTTTGAGGTTATGTCAAAATCCTGATGTGGTGGGATTAAATAGACCATGGATTCGGATTCAGCGACCCCAAAAACATAAAAGAAATATGGTCAGACCCCCAGATCAAAACACAAAAAAAATTTTGTGTTTTGACCTGGGGGCCTGACCATATTTTCTATATATTTTTGGGGTCGCTGAATCCGAATCCGAGATCTATTTAACCCCATCACATCAGGATTTTGCCATAACCTTAAAAAACCCATCATATAAGCTATTACTATATATAACCCTGAGAATGTGGTTTTCATATAAAAATCCAAGCTCTTAAATATCACAACTTCATTACTCACATAACTCCATAACCCCATAACCCATTTAACCTCATAACTCAATGTACATCGACCACGTTTCTCAAATATTTAACTTAATATGTACGTTATTTTAATAACCGCATAACTTTAGTCTCTTCAAAGCTAAATGTCTGAGATACGGAACTGTTGGAATTGATGTTGATGGGGTTAAATGGGTTACAAGGTTATGGGTTTAAGTGGTTTATGGGATGGGGTTAAAATGGTTATTGGGTTTAATAGCTTGGGTTTTCAGATCACACTTTCATCCTACGGATTATATGTTTAAATAGATGATGGGGTTAAGTGGGTCATGGGGTTATGGAGTTAAGTGAGTTTTAGGCTTATAGGGTTTAGGAGCTTGGGTTTTCAGACAACAACTTAATGTTTAGGGTTATATGCGTTTAATAGCTTAAATTATATATTTTTTGAGGTTATGTCAAAATCCTGATGTGATGGGGTTAAATAGACCTTGGATTCGGATTCAGCGACCCCAAAAACATAAAAGAAATATGGTCAGACCCCCAGATCAAAACAAAAAAAAAAATTTGTGTGGCTGTGTAATTAATATTTATAACTAAATACCATTTTTTTATACCTCAATTAGGATTAAATTATATTATTGACAAAATAATATTTTTTTTACCTTAAATGAGGTATTTTTATTAAAAATAGTACAATAATCCTTTACATTAAAGGATTTAATCCTGGCAGTTAAAAAGTGACCATGGTGCGCAATTGATAATTATCACCGAATGAAATAATGTATAAAACCTAAACCAAAGGAAACTTACATATTAGTTTAAAAATCGTGGGTACTTAAAAAATCAGATTTAATTTAATAAGATAATTATTACAAAAAAAGTGATATTTTTTTAGAAAAATTATTGCAAAATCGTAAACAAACAAATTACAGCGCCATCTATTACAAATATGAAAAAATGTTTTAGACAAAATCTACCTATTTTTAATCGAATGATCCGAATCTGCAATAAAAAATAGGGTGTTCCATTGGAAATTTTAAAGTTCCACCTATAAGGAGGAGAGTATGAGGAAAAATTTTAGTACTGATTGATTTCCCCCCTCGAATCATTTAATTTTTATTTTAAACATTTTTCCATAAAATGCTTACTAACTGAGACATTTCAAAGTTTCAAGTTAAATGACTCACCCTGTATATTGTTAATCAAATACTTTAATCAAGGAGCATTGGTTATACAATTTATTTTAAAGCATAACAAAAATTTTGGAATAAAAAAAATTCAGGGACTCACAAAAATGTTTGTCAAACAGAATGACAGCTGGGAAAATTTGACATTTATACATTGCAAGACATGCCTCAAGTTATAGACGAATTTACTGACGAACAAATTGAAAATATTAAAGAAGCTTTTGGATTGTTTGATGACGGCTCGGATACCATCGCTGCCAAGGTTGTAAATATTATAAAAAAGTATTACATACACCAATTACCGGCACACATAATACACAGTCTGTCCCAGATCCGCAAGGACTGATCACAAAAAAAATAGAATTAGTAATTCATTAGAAATATCTTAGTAGATGCCTACAGCATTGAAGACGATCATAAAAATACAAATAACATTTAATAGTATATTATATATCAAGTTTGATAAACGCCATTTTAGTCACGAACTTTAATTAGGCACGAGCGAGTGTTTAATTAAACGATTTTGTAAACTAGTTGTAAACTATACTTTTTCTACGACAAATAATTATTATCATCTAAAAATAATTTAAATTAAATATTTGTATAGAGCGACATCTATAAAACAATAGAGTAACCATTCTAATTTGGGAATCTGTACTACCGGTGCGCTGGTTAAAATGTCAAATTTGTACGTTTAAATCAAAATTTATCCCCTATAAATGGACTAACCACCGTTTAAATCCGATATAGAAGCAGTTTTCACAGTGAAAGTGAAGATAATGTTTTATGGGCACTCCACGGTTGAATCTCCCACCGAAATTTTTAATACTTAAGCAATTAAATCAATAACTTGCATATAAACTTTTAAAATATTGGCGTTAAGAAACTATTTAATACTGTATTTTTGTATTGAGATAATAAAATAATTTTCAAATTTAGTATTATTTTACAAGAATGGCACTTTATTTTGACGATTGTATGACATTTGACAACTTAAAAAAAACTTCTGCCCGTGACTAAAAACCTGTCGCTAACTTTAGCCCGTGACTAAAACGTCATAAAGCCACAACTTGTAAATGTGTATTTAAAGGGTCACTTAGTGTCATGGAAACATTTACGATAATGGGAGTAGAAATTAGTATATTATGTATCAAGTTTTATAAACGCCATTTTATGCACGAGTTTTATTAGGCACGAGCGAAGCTTGCGAGCGAGTGTTTAATAAAAACGAGTGCCTAGAGATGTTTATAAAACGAGTTGCATACTATACTTTATCTACGACGAATAGAAATGAGAATTTAAAGCCAATTTTAATTTATAAATATTTGACATTTGACAAATTTAACCTTACTTTTTTGCAATTTATAATAACGCTAACTTCAGCCCGTGACTAAAATGCCCAAAAGCCACTGTTGTTAACTTCAGCCCGTGACTAAAACACCATAAAGTCACAGCTCTTCAATGTAGGAGTAGATAAAGTTATTTATGTATCAAGGCAGTAAAGTCGTATTTTTTATCACGAATCTGGAAATTATTTGCAGAGGCGAAAGCCACGTGAGTGATAAAAAATGACTTTAATGCCGAGGTGCATATTAAATTTTATCCGAAATCACATTTAATAATACTAATATTAATATGATGATCAAATGTCATTTGAATGTAGGAAGTGTCTACGTATACTGTTTGTTGACGATTATGATATATTCTAATTAATAAAATTAACTTATTATTTTTATTAAACAACATTTTATGAAAGGGTCCAATCGACCACCGCGACGGTGCTTTTTTTAAAATATTATTTAGTTGCTGCTAGTAGCAGTAGACACATCTTAAAATGTATAATTGGTTGCATACAATACTCGTATTACTGCCGATTTTGGATAAAAGTCATTTTTAAAATCGTTTTTTGATCCATCATCAGCAACGGTATCAAAAAATGTTCCTTAAATTTTTTTATTTTGGGAATAGACAGAAGTTGCAGGGAGCTAAATCTGGTGAATACGGAGGGTAATTAACTTCTACTTTACTTTATTCAATAAAAATTTCGGCACTCAGCCCTGTATAGCTTAATATTCATATATTATATCACGAGAACTATGAATTTAATCGGTTAAACTAGGCTCAGTAGTTTTTTGTTTGGTTTTTGTTGGAAAATGTTGAATGCAAAATAATTTAATAAAATCCCGAGACCGCGTAGCGGTCGAGGGGTTTTATTTTTAATTATTTTGCATAAAACTATTTTCCAAGAAGAAAAATCAAATAAAAAACTTACTGAGCATAGTTTGACAGATTAAATTTATAGGTTGAGTGATATACGTCTAGATTATTTCTCGAATTAAAGGAAACTATTTGACAATTCATAAAATCTGACGTATGTGTCAAAATTTATAAATATTTTTTTAAAGAAAATTACATTAACTTAAGGTATGTAATAAGTAATAATTGATATTTCGTAAACTAGATTACTTATTTTTTATTGTTTTTTAAAAAATGTTTGTTAAAACTTGTAAATAACACCATAAAATCGTAAACAAAAATCCAATATGGAGGCTAAAATTTAATCGCTGTTAAATAGTTCTAGTGATTTAATCGCTTATTTAAACGAAATTTATTCAAAAATTCAAGGCTTTTGATTGGTTCATATTATAATGAGGGAAATAATCATTATTATTAGAAATATTCGTCTAATTTATGCCAATAATGAAGAATTTTTTTTGTTTTTGACTATTTCAGGACTTGACAACAATTTTGCGATCGTTGGGCACGAACCCAACGCCTGCCGAGATCGAGGACATATTGCACGATCGCGATCCAGAAGCGGACCCAGAGCGCATCGGTTTTAACGAGTTTACAGAAATCTTTAAACGAAAGCTGACAGACAGAGAGTTCGTCGACGAATTAATAGAAGTTTTCAGACAGCACGACAAAGACAAAACCGGCACCGTACCAGTACCGCTTGCCAGAGAAATCCTCAAAGGACTAAGTGAGTATGGTAGGGTGGTTCAAGAGTGCGCACTATCGATATACAAGGTCTCCCTAAACTTCGCGGCATAAATTTAGGAGCAGATTAAGCAAGTCAAAATAAGACGAAAATCTAAATAAATATTTTTCCTAATTAGGTATGTTTAAAAGATACAGGGTGATAAAGTGTTACTTATCATATCAGTTTTTTTAATATAAACTTCTACTATGGTAGACTTGGAATGGTGATATTTTGCGAACAGTCACTTACTACCAAAACACATATTTACACATAATTACAATTTTTCGAGTGAACCAGGAGTTGCTTAAGCTTATTGTCCTATACAAACTTTGAGGTTAAGTTTTTATAGCATTTGATGCAATTTTTCGATTACTCAGTTCGGCTACTATTAAAAAAGTGTACCTCCCAAACTTCGATAAAATAAACCGTTTCCGAGATATTCGAGATTACAATAATTGTTATATGACATTAAAGGACTAAAAGGTATATGATAACAAATTTTTTAATTGAAAAACCTACATTTTTTTTAATGTGACGGTTAGGGCAAAAAGTCCCGAGGCTCATGGAATGCCCTTTTTAGTTTTTTCAATTAAAAAATAAAATTTGATATTTAATATATATAATATATTCGAGATTACAATAATTGTTATATCGCATTATTTAAAAGGATTATATGATAAATAAATATGATAAATTTTATCATATTTATTTATCATATAAAATCCTTTTAAATAATGCGATATAAGAATTATTGTAATCTCGAATATCTCGGAAACGGTTTATTTTATCGAAGATTAAGAGGTACACCTTTTTAATGGTAGCCGAACTGTGTAATCGAAAAATTGCATCAAATGCTACAAAAACCTAACCTCAAAGTTTGTATGGGACAATAAGCTAAAAGCAACCCCCGTTTCTACGACACTGTGTGCACTCAAACAATTGTAATTATGTGCAAGGGCGTCGCCAGTAAGCTAGGGGGGGCAGCATAAAAAACTGAAGAGAAAACTCAAAAAAGAAAAGTTTTAATAAAAAAAATAAAAAACGAACAAAATAACATCATAGAAAATCAATGTTGACGAAATTTTTGAAAATGTGTTGCCTATTTATTTAGGTTTTCGTCTTATTTTGACTTGCTCAATTTTTTCCTAAATTTATGCCAATAAGTTTAGGGACACCTTGTATATTATAACGAAAATCTTACTTATTTTGATTATATTATTGCTAATATGATTATATATTATTGCAAACAATTCTGGTTAGTAATGCACCAAATTTAACACGTTAATAGATAAATATTGGTTTTAGGTAACCAGAAATATTAAAGAAATTATTTGAATTTTTATATTTTTTTATTACCACATATTTCAACCGGGCGTGCTTATATTTCAAGCAATGACAGTAAAATTTTATTCTTGTTAATTTTAAGTCTTCGGATTACTTTAATTCTAGTTATTATTTGCAAGTGGTATTCTTACATTAATGTATAATTATAATAATTTTAGTATTCAGTGTCAGTTTAATGTCTAGTTTTAGAGAAAGCAAAGATAAATAATAAGCTGGAAAGAGACGAGGATATAAAGTAAACAGTAGTAAAGATTCGCTTAAGTTTTGGCCACGTTTCAATAACTCAATCCCAACGTGGTATAAACGTGTCTCTATACAATCGAAGAACGTTGTTGGAACGTAACTGACACTAAAAAAATGTTTATCATTTTAGTAACTTCCACGTAATAAAACCGTTTCTACCACGTGGCAATGGAGATTTTGGCAATACACTTTACAGTTCCAAGTACAAGTGGCCAATACGTTCAAGGGCGTTGATAATTTTTTATAAGGAAAATAATTTTGCAAAACTCCTTATTGTTTATTTGCTTTTATATATTGGGGAAAAGGATTATAAGGTACTAAAACTAAATATCTCATAAACATAAACATACATATTCTTTTTTAAGTACCTAGGTAATCTTAAATATAAAATTCAAATTATAAAATTATAATGGCTTTTTTTCATTTTTGCAAAACGATCCAAAACTTTAGTACATTAGAGATGCGCACAAGATGCGAGAGATTATTAATCTAAGGATGCTGGGGGCCGACGCAGTGTTGCCAACCCAAAATCGGTCTAGGAGGTAAATATAATATTAAAAGTTGGTAGTTTCCAACAAATCTTACTTTGAAAAGTTAGTAGATCTACCACCTATATTTTTCGAGTATTCCAGAGACTCCAAATTAAGAAATCTGGCACTTTGAATTTATTTTTTGATGGACACAAAATATTTTAAGGATATTTATAAAAAAACAATAATAAAGCAGAATTACAGATTGCCAATATTCAAAATAAGAATAGAAAAAATTCAAAAATTAAAGAATGAATGATAATAATTAAAAATATTTTATTATTTTTTGACTTTTTTTTATTCCATTTTTAAATTTGTACCCTTTTACTTCTAATCCCTTTAATTATAAATATATTTATTAGAATTAGAAACAAAAGGGTACGAATTTGAAGGCAATTATTATCGTGCCTATAGGCACTTGGGTTGTATACTATATCGTAATTTAAAAATTACAGATTATAAATATTTAATTAATTAATTTGAGTATACAACCCAACTTTATAATTATCATAATTCGTTCTTTATTTTTTGACTTTTTTCTATTCCATTTTTAAATTATTATTATAAATATATTTATAATTAAAGGGATTAGAAACAAAAGGGTACAAATTTGAAAATGGAAAAAAGGTAAAAATATAAGAAAAAAGTATAGCTTTTTTATTTTTTTTATTAATCTATTTGATTGAATAATTTATAATATTTTTCAGTAGGTGTAGGTTGCTCCGCACTTTTGTTGACAAATGTTATAGATAATAGAGGGCGTTACAGTAACGCACTATTAGTGTTGTAAAAAAAACGTTTTTTTTCAGTTGAAAAAAAACACGTGAAAAAAAACATGTTTTTTTTCACTGAAAAAAAACAAAAGTTGTTTTTTTTCATCCCCACCCACGTATGGTAAAAGGGCGCCTCGCTGTCGGCAATGCTGACTCAGCATATCGTATAGTCTATACGGTATTATAACAGAAGAGTTAAGACCTGCGGCTTTATAGTAGGTTGATGCATAGTTGGTAGAAATGCCGAAAAGAGAAGGCTCAGGGCGAAAGCCAACAACGTTAAACAATTTGTTTAAGAATATTACTAATGGTAAATAAGAAACTATAATTAGTATTTAATATTCTTCTAGTGACAGAATGTGCCAAAAATTCTTTCCTCAGCAGTGACATTTCGAAAATCCTGTCACTTAATATAATTTGAGTATTTTTGACAATTTTTTTGAAAAAAAAACATTTTTTTTGAAAAAAAAACAAGGTCCTCTGTTTTTTTTCTAAAAAAAACATTTTTTTTTGAAAAAAAACAAGACTGTTTTTTTTCAGTGACAACACTACGCACTATATACTCTATGAAATTTGGTAAATGTTTAAAGATGAAAAAAGTATAAAAAAACACAATGCATTATTACCACTTTTAGGAAGATTTAATGTAAAAAAATTAAAAACTTCAAAAGATGGTAGATTTTTCTTGCAAAGTAGTAGATTTGAGCAAGACACTAAAAGTTGGTAGATCTACCGAAAAGTTGGTAGAGTTGGCAACCCTCGATCTAAATGATGCGCACAAGATGCGAAATCATTGCGATTTTGCGAATTAAATTAACTATCTACCTTACAATGATCTAGTGTAATAGTAATAAAATAGGGGTTTTATTATGGCCACACTTTAAAAACTATTCATAGTATTTTTTTTCTCTTCTATCTTGGGGGGTTAATTAGCCCCATTACCCCCCCTTATCGACACCCTTGAATACGTTTCATCCACTACTTCGTATGGATTGCCTATTTCTTTAAAACCCCCTTGTTTAAATTTTCAGTTATAAAATTTTAAATAATTCCAAAATTTTCAACAAAGATTTAAAAAAAATGTATTCCAATATTTTTAAAAATTTTAAAATTCCAAAAAACTTTAAAATATAAAAAATACATACTACCTACACTAAACTTGTACCAGCAAAGATGTGAGTACAATGGCCCTTAACTGTGTTTTTAGATTTGTATTTAAACGACGAAGAAATTGCGGAAATGGTTAGGGAAATAAATAACAGCGATGAAGAAGATTTGGACTACGTTGAGTTTATGAATACAATGACGCAAACTTATTTTTAAACCTTATTTTTTATTTTTTACACACAATAAATATTAAATAAATAAATAAAAAACTCTGAAAACCGTATATTTATCTAAATACTGAATTGTTCACATTAAAATTAAACATGCCAATAAATCAAAATATTCGATGAACATATGTATATTATTTTGATATTGGACCATTAAAAATAAACAACATTTGGGCCACTTCAACGTGTGTTAGAGGCTATTAATATTTTATAAATAGACGACCAGTTGGTTATTATCTTAATTTATTGACAAATTAATCAATGTTGTAAGTTCTTTAACAAGTTTTCTATACATGTTTTTTTAAACAGTTCAACTACTTGTGTTCTATTTTTATTATAATGAATGGAAATTTAAGTAGTTTGAATTAAAAATAACAGGACTCACCTAATTCAGAGATGATATTGGTCAAAGGCTTGGACCCATCAGATTTGATATTATCCAAATCAAGGCAAGATTCGTAAAAATGTTTTAACTTCCATTTTACCGACTGAAACGGTATGGGAAGCTTTAGGCTGGCTATCTGGTTTCTGACCCTCTCATATTCTAGACAAAAAAATAATAAATAAATAGTGAATATTTTTTGGTCTCCAAAACAGTTACCTTTCCTCATTAGCTGCTCCTTCTGGTTCCATCGACTTCTGTCTTTTGGGAGCGGGTACTTCGATAACCAACCACCGCATGTGAAGTTCCACAGGTCTACACAAGGACTCGCAGCACTGTTCATAGATTCACGAATCTAAAAAAAACTGTACTGTAACAATAATCAAAATAAAACTCATAAAAAAGCATGTTTCTTACGTAATAACTTTAAAAGAAAGGGAGTAAAGGGGTGTGAAAAGGAGTGAAGGGGGTGAAGATTGGCAATTGGCGAATATTTTGTGAAAATTAAAAATACAGGCCGATTTTTTACAAGCAAGTGTTCAGGTATTCATTTACCTGAGTAGTATACTGGGTTGCCTATATGTAAACCTTACAATTTAATTTTACAATGTATTTTGCCTAAAGACAAATGAAATGTCTACTTTGTGTTTTTGTTGTATTAAATATAGTTAAGGCCCTTTACTTTTTATTTAGATAATATATTTAAATTTATTGTTTACTACAATGGGTTTTACACAATTTATAGATAAAAGTGGCATTGTATACTTTTAAATGTTAATAATGATAAGTTGTTTTGTAATTATGGGAATTTCTAATTAGTTAGTGTTTTCTGTTTTAGCATTGATTTCAAATTATACAGGGTAAAAGAAGTTTTAATGGAATAACAAACCATTATAAATAGATTAATACTACAAAAACCATTCAGATCATGCTGATGACAAAAACGCTTCTGTATCTTTCAAAACATATTTAAAAACCAGTCTATAATTTGCAAAACACATAAAAGATTAGTGATTTTATGGTCCACGTAAAGAATCAACTGAGCTCGATATTTGTCGTGCAGTGGATGAATTTTATAAACACTCAAAAATTCATGAGACTAAATTACACAATAGCGCACTGTTTTTAGTCGTCTTCATCTGTAAGCTTTTTATTTGAATATTTTGATTTAAAAAAAAATTTAAAGAATTTTTTAAAAAAAATTTATTTTGTATATTTTAATTTTAGGTACATTTAACCTCTTTTAAATCCCATAATGTGAATTATATCTACTAGACAATTAGGTAAATATTTGTAGAACATTAAACTGATTTTTACTTTAAAAGCTTAAATAAAACCAGAGCTGAGAAAGTTACTTCTGAAAAGTATCTAGTTACTTTTTTAAGATACTTTAAACAAAATAACTTAGTTACCTCTGGTAACTACATACTTTGAGTTTAAAGTATCTTTAGTTACAAGATACTTTAAAAAGTATCTAAAACACTATATGAAAGTATCTAAGATACTATATGAAAGTATCTAAGATACTTTTGAGTTACTAAGATACTTTTGAGTTACTAAGATACTTTTAAGTAACTAAGATACTTTTGAGTAACTAAGTTACTTTTAATTTTAAATAAAAACTATAAAATTATAAAAAATTCAACAAGTTGTAGGTTAGGTAGGTAATTACTTTGAATCATTCTGGAATTCCCCAATTTTCTTTACAATGAAAAGTATCTAAGTTACATTCAAAAGTATCTTAGGTAGAAAGAATTGTTTTGAATAGGCATTAAAAAACTTTTTATATTATTTTTCATTTTATGAAAAATCCTAAAATAGATACCAATTTATATAAAATAAAAAATAAATAAAATTTTAATTCGAACCCAATTAAATTAATTAATTTAATTTATTTATATTGATAACTAAGATTTTTCATAAATATTTTTTTTTAATTTAAAACATTTTTACCAATTTTTGTTTTGTTAATTTTTAAACTCTGTATAATATGGGGTTTTTTCAAAAACTAGTTAAAAAACTGATTAGATAGTTATACTATAATAAATTACCATTATTATTTGTAGAACATTAAACTGATTTTTACTTTAAAAGCTTAAATAAAACCAGAACTGGGAAATTTACTTCTGAAAAGTATCTAGTCACTTTTCTAAGATACTTTAAACAAAATAACCTCTGGTAACTAGATACTTTGAGTTAAAAGTATCTTTAGTTACAAGATACTTTAAAAAGTATCTAAGATACTATATGAAATATCTAAGATACTTTTGAGTAACTAAGTTACTATTAAGTTTGAATAAAAACTATAAAATTATAAAAATTCAACAAGGTGTAGGTTACTTTAAATTATTCTGGAATTCCCCCAATTTTCTCTAAGAAAGTATCTAAGTTACACTGAAAAGTATCTAAGTTACTTCAAAAAGTATCTTAGGTACTTTAAAGTATTTAAGTTACTTGAATGTATCTTAGTTACTTTACCGAGTAACATAGATACTTTTTAAGATACAAGTTACAAGATACTTTTCCGGAAAGTATCTAAGTTACACTGAAAAGTATCTAAGTTACTTCAAAAAGTATCTTAGGCCCTTGTGGAAATTTTTCTCTGAGAAAGTCTTACTTTCTCTGAAAAAGTCTGAATAATACTTATTAAGTCGGAAAAAGTCAGAATAAGACTTATTAAGTCGGAAAAAGTCTGAATAAGTCTTATTAAGTCAGACTAATAGCAAGATTTGGGAGTCTTCTGGAAGAGTTAATAAGACTTTTTAAGACTTAATAAGACTTTTAGTAGAGAAATGGTAGGTACCTACGGAGATAAAAATAAATATCCGAAATAATTCATAGAGGTTGTATTTGGTTATCGTAAAAAAAAACACATAGAAAATTATTTATTAACATTTTTGCTGTTGTTATAAGCCAAGTTTATTGCATAATTACCTATATAATAACATAGGTAAGATGTAATAATTAGGTATAACAATTATAATTTTATACATACGATGCGCTTGACATGCATGCTTCCACCATAGAAAAAGGAGTTGCCACTGTACGTTTTATTTTAATAGTTTCTTTTGATACACGCAAATATTTACCTATTTAAACATTGTTACAAACAATAGACGTAAGACGTAATATCGAGAGACCAGCTTAGCTAGCTGACCAATTAGAGCACAGCTGACCTGTCAGTGGGACACAGTGTTGCCGTTTGCAAGTATTTTACTCGAAAATCGGGTATTTTCATAATATTTGCGGGTGATTTGCAAATTTCTATCAAAATAATAACAAAAGAAATTTTCAGTAAATAATATTGTATATTTACTAAATAAGTATGCACAATTATTTTATTCTATCTTGTTACATTTTTATTAATATTTTAGTATTTTGTAATTTATGGTCAGGAACTTTTATGGCAACACTGTACGAAAACACGAAGATCAACCATGATACAAAGATGAATGAAACACGAAGATCAACCATATTTGTTATGTTCTGTGCATATTTGTCTTACGAGTCTATCGAAAATATCATGTCTATAGACTTGATATTAACTCCTTTTTCTATGTTGGAAACAATGAAAGCATGTTAAGCGCATCGTATGTATAAAATTATAATTGTTATAATTATTACATCTTACCTATGTCAGTATATAGGTAATTATGCAATAAACTTGGCTTATAACAACAGCAAAAATGTTAATAAATACTTGTCTATGTGTTTTATTTTACGATAACCAAATACAACCTCTATGAATTATTTCGGATATTTATTTTTATCGCCATAGGTACCTACCATTTCTCTACTAAAAGTCTTATTAAGTCTTAAAAAGTCTTATTAACTCTTCCAGAAGACTCCCAAATCTTGCTATTAGTCTGACTTAATAAGACTTATTCAGACTTTTTCCGACTTAATAAGTCTTATTCTGACTTTTTCCGACTTAATAAGTATTATTCAGACTTTTTCAGAGAAAGTAAGACTTTCTCAGAGAAAAATTTCCACAAGGGGGTACTTTAAAGTATTTAAGTTACTTGAATGTATCTTAGTTACTTTACCGAGTAACATAGATACTTTTTAAGATACAAGTTACAAGATACTTTTTCAAAGTAACTAAGTTAAAGATACTTTCTGTCCAATATAAAAAGTATCTAAGATAAAGTATCTTAGATACTTTAAAATACTTTTAAGAATCTTAAAGATACTCCCAGCTCTGAATAAAACTAATGTAAATATTGTAAGATTATATTATTTTTTTAAATAATTATTATTACATGTTTTGTGTTTTTTTTTGTTTCCAATGTAAATAATGTAATGTTTTTAAATAAATTAAAATTCAGTCAAATTACTCACAATTCTCACAACAAACAACCCGGGCAACATTGGTGCCAAGGAGACACTTATTTAGCATGAAACCTTATCAACCGAGAGCGAAAAGTGCGGTGTGGAAAGGGGTACAGCACGTGCCGCAAACGTGACAGAACGGTAAAGTAGCTCCAGCCGAGGGTGTTGGGCGTTGGCGCACCTAGCAAAGGAAGTTGATTATAATCAAAATAATTATTTGCGGATCCGGCAGGCTATAAAATGAGCTGGATCCAGCTGGATTGCTGGATGAGGGATCCAGCAATTGCAATCCCTAGTTACAGTTAATAGTCAACGTTGCCGGACAATGATCAGTGAACATTTTTTCGGTAATACTTCACGTTTATTAAACCAATAAAAACTCTTATTTGCATAGCAACCACACTGGTAACGTTGTCTTTCTCTATTCAAAAAGACTGCATTGTTCACTAAATTATCCAATCAAGTATACCTCTAGCATCATGGACTTCCGTTATTCACTGAAAACTCGATTTTCCTATAAAAATTCTTCACTCAATAGTATTTTCATTTATGGCCAGAGATAAGACCCATCGAGCTAAAATTCTCGGGGTCATATTAGATCATAAATGAAAGTACCATTTCGTGGAAATTTTCAATAAATTGCTTTTCTGTGAACAACAGATAAGACGCATCTTTTAAAAATTAATTACACATATTTGGATTCATCTGGTTGCTCCTACGTGCCATACTGCCCACTTTTTGTGGGACTCTGCAAAGTTCTTGGTGTATTACAAACCATTTAAAACTTGGACAATATTTTGTTATTGGTGAGCCCCAAAGGCTACAAAGTCCAAAACTCGACTCATGTCATAAATTGTTTCGCTCACTTTATAAACTATCTAATATAATACAGGGTGTCCCAGACCTCGCGCCACAAAATTGTTAGAATACATTGTTGATATAATACGCTAAAGAAGTATCGGGTTTTCGCAACGCGCGCGCCATCTGGTGGACTTCGAATGCATTGCGTGAATTTAAGAATTGTCAACAATAAATTTAAAGCACCAATTATACATCATTTTTAAATATATAGGTAGTTTTTTTTACAAAAGAGAGGAATGCAGAATTCTACTCGACAAATTTTGTTCAATTGCACAGCTAAATCGCGCACGTAATTTGTGTTTTACGTTGCAAAGAAAAAATTAAAAACTTTTTTAGTAATTATTCCTTATATCATTGATTATAATAATAATAATAAGAAACTCAACGCTTAAATGCTTATAAGCATACACTGACTAACAAAACTATGTATACATAGTTTTGTTAGTCAGTGTATTTTATCAAAGGGATCATGGTGAATTATTGTGTTTTTAATTGTAAATAAAATTCATGAACTAAATCGTTGCATTTTCATGTTTTGCCAAAGGATCCAATTCGGTAAGTACATTTGTTGGTGCAGAATTGATGATAACTTTACCTAATATAATTTATATTTAAGTTTGGACATTTTTAAGAAATTAGTAAAAATTAATTTTTGCACAAATATAACCTTAACATCAATCATTTTTATATTTGAGTTCTCTAAAAAACGCCGACAACTGCATTTTAAACAACAAAATATACCTACGAATTCAGGGCAACATAATATTATATATAATACATAATATAATGGTATTTTACCGTTGAGTCGAGACTTTCAAGAATTCTTAATCAACGCTTTTAATAATGCTAACTGCCGTTTAAATTTAGACGACTTATTTGTTTGACGATTCTTACTGAATTGAAATGTTTACACTTTTCACGTTAATCACTACTAAAATGTGTATTTATTGTATTTAATAGGTACAATTTATATTTACAGAGACTGTATGCAATTTATTTCTTCATTCAGATTAACACTGTTTATTGGAAAACCGGTAAAAACTCAACCCAGAATTTCCTCTCGAAATACACCCAACAACACAACAAATCTATCCACGGTTTTTTTTTTCGATATTTTTTTAACATTTTCCATTTGACAGCTGATTATAAAAAGTCTACTTTTGTTACGATGATAACAGCCGAGTGGTGGCACTACTAGCGATACTTCTTTAGCGTATAGTGTATAAAACACTATAATTAGAAATTTGGCATCTCCATTGCTATCAGCACGCCCCCTTTTTCTCTGACCCCTTTATACATATCATGTAGAATTGGAACATCTCCCTTGGCGAGAATATTTAAAGGGAAAGGATGGAAAAGCAGGTGGGGGTAAAGTGGGGGACACTTACCTGCGACGAAGCCTTCAAGCAGGAGTACTCCTGACACACGGGAAACCGCTTGCTGTGCGCGAGACGCGGCCACGCGGCACTTAGCGCGACCACCACGACAAAAAGTAGGAAACACGCGACGAGAATCGCGACCCCGATATACAAGTTCCTCTTCGTTAGATCGGTTTTGTCGCACACATCATCGCGATATTTTTGCCATCGTTTTTTCGGCAGGATTTTAGAGTCTTCTATGCACGGATCGGCCTCGGTGGCCTCGACAGCGGTCCCTGCGCCACTCCCGTTCGCTTTCGTAGTTGGCGGTTGTTCCTTGTCTTCGGACATTTTTTTATTTATTTATATTTCAGTTTTTTAGAAGGATGGCGTTTGTCACATCACAGGGTTTGAGTTGTGGCTGTTAGATAGTTGAAACCTAAAAAAATATAAATGTTATATAATTGTTCTAAAGACTATAACAGGTCTCTATTTTTTTCAAACAAAAACCAGACTATTTGTTTCTGTCAGGTTTTCGGGATATTCCAATTCAAAAGTGGAAAACGCAGTTTTTTCAACATTTCAGGTTATATTACATAACGAGGTATTTTTCTTTGCAAAACTCACTTCATTTCGATCTGAATTTCTTATAAAGGAGAAAAACATTTAAAAAGGATAATAGTAGGTACTTTTAGATGACGAGTTTTGTGAAAAAAATATGTCGTGATGTTATATTACGCGTTTTTAGTTTTGTGTTAGAATTTCTCAAAACCTGAGCCGATGGAGCAATTCTGAAGTCGGATTCAAATTTAGCGCATACAATATGTTAGTAACTTGTAGTAAATACTTGTGATAATTTATTGTTTTTAACCATTAGAGCTTCTTTAAAACCAAATTGTGACAGCTTTGGTAAACTTAAACCGAAATCTTGATAACGTTTAGTTTCAACAAGACCCGCTCATAATTTCATTGGATGAAATGAAAAAGAATAATATCAAATGGAGTCAACTTTTTATTTGTGTTTTGCCTTGCGAATGAAAAAATTCATTTTCCAAGCAACAATGCCATTACAAAATGTGACTTTTGTATTGTGGTCGTAAAATATTTTTAATGTCTTAATTAAGGTTAAAAGTTAGCATCACACTCTATAACCCCATGTCCCCATCATATTGCAATAGTGAAAACTTGGATATATTTTATAGGTTTGGTATGAAACAGAATTATAAAACTAAAATGAAATAACAAATAAGTAGCTAGTAGTAGTATTAGTGGCGTCTCGTAACCATTCATGAAGGTGAGGCCCATGAACGTTTTGGAGCACTTCAGAATCTAAATAATAAAAATATATTATTTAAAAACATGTTCTTTCAGGAGAAGAATTTTCAAAATTTAGCTAGAATAACACAAAAAGTGCGGGACGAGGTGGGATGTTTATTTATTCCTTCAGCAGGTTTCCACATTACCCAGGAGGTACTGCTCATTTTTACCTATCTTATAATAATTATTTTTAGATTAATAAAGGCACAACCGCACAACAACAAAATAATAATGTACAAGCACGGTAGGTATATGAAACTCAACGATTTAACACTGAACTATAAAAAAACATGAATATTTTTATTTATATTTTTTGTGATTTTTACTGTGGTATTTGTGTGTTATAATAATAAAAATATATTATTTAAAAACATGTTCTTTCAGGAGAAGAATTTTCAAAATTTAGCTAGAATAACACAAAAAGTGCGGGACGAGGTGGGATGTTTATTTATTCCTTCAGCAGGTTTCCACATTACCCAGGAGGTACTGCTCATTTTTACCTATCTTATAATAATTATTTTTAGATTAATAAAGGCACAACCGCACAACAACAAAATAATAATGTACAAGCACGGTAGGTATATGAAACTCAACGATTTAACACTGAACTATAAAAAAACATGAATATTTTTATTTATATTTTTTGTGATTTTTACTGTGGTATTTGTGTGTTTATATAATAATATATTAAAATACAAATGATCTTTTATAATTATTTGAATTATTTTTACATGAATTCACAACACAATAATGTATTTTACGATTGCACTTTTATCACAACTTTCCATTTTAACGCTAAGGCAAAGACTAAACAGAAACTATGAACACGCATAGATCTAATTAATAAGCTTTGTTTACTAAAACATTCCACGCCCCGCCCAGTCTTTTACAACGGCTGATAACCGAGCCGCACAGATCTCGGGACTGACTCTGCTGTCTTCCATATACTGTGGTACAAGCCCAACTTTGTGGGCCTCAATGTCTACAAAAATTCGCGTATTATCACCGCCTTGCGGGGGTGCCGGCGGCACCGTGCAGCGGTGGGGAGCATGATGTTGTATCGGCAATGTGTGACGTATATGAAGCGCAAATTTCTGTCATTACTATTTCCCTATTATGCGGTCGAACAATGATTTAAGCGTTTAGAATTGGAAGGGGTGCGCGCTAAATTTAAAGGAAATATTTTAAACTTTGATGGTTATTCGATGTTTTGATACTTTTAACTGGAAATTAGTTTAAAAACGTTTTATATTTAACATTTCAAATTATATTATAATTTTAACATGTGACGCCCGGCCTCAGTTGCTTTATACGACGAGCCGCCACTGGTTAGTATACTAATAAAGAATGTGATAAAAAGTCTGTGATTAATTTTTTAAGCGTGACCAAATCTTGTTCTTATATTTAATGTCTACTTCGTCACAAACCACCTAAATAAAAACAGCTTTCTTATAAAATACACTGGAGTTTAGCATTATATATAAAAATAACTCTGTAACCCATATAAGTGTTGCACGAGATGGCGCCGTTGCAGGCAATGGTATCGCTATTGTTATTTTGCGCGTTACAAACAAGCAGCGTGTGTCTTTCGTCACGGCATTTAGTCGGTAAGTATTTGCAGTATTTAATTTTCTTTTTCATGTAAAGTAAACCTATTTCTTTCTTTTTAATTAACGCAATGTTTTATGTGCAATTATTGTTTTACTTGGAAAATAGATTTTGTTATTATGAAAATTGTCTCCTTCGTATATGTCACTCTTTTATTACACTGATATCTCTAAGACATTAAACTTTAATCTTTAGTAAAAACTTTGCTGCTGATAGTAACATTATTTAGTTTGCCTAAATAACATAAATGGAAATGTGAAATATTTATTTTTTAGAGGTAGATGGGGCTAAAAAGTATAATGACCCGTATATCATAGAGGTGTAATAAAAACATTTAAATTAATCTTTATAAACCAATTTCCAATATTCCTGACGTCAAAATCGAAATAGAAACATAACTCAAAAAATCTCCAATATTAATGTTTTAATCTCGACCCATTAAGATTACTGTGAAAAACGGAACGTATGGCTTTTTAACGAATCGTTAATAATAGCAAGTAAGCAGTGCAACGTTCTGTAAAAATAGAATGGAAATATGGATGTAAGCACTTACTTTACCACAACAAACGTTTCCATTGTTTGGATTATTAATTATGCAATTACTTTGTAGTGTTCGAGTATATTTAAATTTATTACTTGTGAGAAACTAAGACGAGCTTACAGCTTTAAGCACTTAAAATGAGTTTTATAAGGAAGAGGATTATTGGTCTTTTTATATCACACAATATTTGCTTCTATTTTTCAGTATTTTAGTTAAACATTTTGATAATAATGCACCAAGAAAGTTTAACTATTAAAGGTCTTAAGAACAAAATATGTTATCAATTAAAAATTGTTACCAATAAAAAGTGATTAATATATTATTAAGACTTAATTTTTCTTATAACAAAAAACGGCAATAAATTGATAGTACCAATGTTTTCTTGAATGTAATTTAATGCTTGAAAGACAATGCGACATGACGACGATAAAAACCTGAATGTTATTTACTACTTTTTCATAGAAATTTACGGGATTTCATGAACTGCTGAATAAAAACAAAAAAGTCAGCATTGTAAAACAATACCAAGTTTGTAGTAGTTTGTGTACAAGGTTAGACGAAATAATACATGTTTTACGTTTTTTGAGTTTTCATTTTAAGAAATAAATTTTAACGTACATTAAATTCCCATGAACGGCCTTAAAATTAAATTGAACTTTTTATTTTTGAGTTTTGATAAGAAGGTATTTTTTCGACGGTTTTGGACATAAATTCGACCTTACAATAGCTCCACCACATCAGGTTTTCGAGAAATTCCAAACCAAAACTGAAAAAGCAAAGGTTTAAATTTGCAAAATTAAAATATTTAATATTTTTTCAATAAATTAATAAAATAGAATCCATACATTACTTTAAAAGTCGATTTTAATAGTAATAGTAATAGTAATAGTAATAGTTTATTAAGTATCAAGTTTAATATCTAATAAATCTATTGTTATTATTATTATTATTATTATTAATTAACGCCATTTTAGTCACGAATTTTATTGCGAGCGAGTGTCTAATTTAATGAGTGTCTAAAAAAGTTTATAAACGAGTTGCATACTATACTTTTTCTACGACAAATACTTAATATTATCTAAAAAAAATATTTAAATAAAATATTTGTATAAAGCGACATCTATACGAAAATAAAGTAACCATCCCAATAAACATTTAATTGTCACCATTAACATTGCCTGTTATTAATTTTAATGAAAAAAAAATATTAAAATAACTTTAAAATATGATTATGTTAAAAAAATAGTTTATCCTATATAGTTAATTGCAAAATATTATCACTCATCAAGTAGGTATTAAAAATTCTTACACGGAAAATGTTTAAGGTACAAAAAGTGACAGTTGTATTTATTGAAATTCGCGATACTTTGGAATCTACCGGCGTAAAAATGTCAAATTTTTCTGTGTAAATCAAAATTTATTCCTTGAAAATATACTAACAAAAGATATAGAAGCAGATTTTCACAGTGAAGAGAATGTTTTATGAGCACTGTACGCAAATTTTTTAACACTTTTATCATTTAAATCTAGTTTACTGCATGCACGTTCATTTAATATTTTTAAATATTGGCGTCAAGAAACCATTTAATACTTTTGTATTTTTGTATTGAGATAATAAAATAATTTTCACATTTAGTATTATTTTACAAAGAAGGGAACTTTATTTTACCGATTATATGACATTTGACAGCTGTCAACTAACTTAAAGCTACAGCTTGTCAATGTGTATCTAAAAGATACCTTGGTGTCATGGAAGTATGTACGATAATGAGTTTTAAAGGTGTGAATAGAAAATAGTTATTTTTTTAAGTGTTAAAAAGCGACTTTTTCATGCGAGTGTTTAAGTTGCTCACGAGGCCTTTAGGCCGAGTGTGCATTAACACAAGCTTTGAAGAAAGCTTTTCTCAAAAGTGAAACAATGTTTTTTCTACGATCCTTTTATTTTATATTATACAAAACAAAATAACCTAAAAACGTGTTTGACAGCTGTTAAAATTACTTTCATCCTATTATTTTAATTTTTAAGGTATAAGTTACTTAAAATCAGTAAACTTACCTTCTCAATTTAAATTAAGGCACTAAAAATTAGAATTTATTATAGAAACACAATTAATTGTGTTCTAAATGTTATTTAGACATACATATACAAAAACAATACAAATTTTGAAACGAATGTCAATTTCTTTTCACACAGAAATGTCACTTTACATTTGTGTTTTGCCTTGCCAATCAAAAGATTTATTTTCTAAGCAACGATGCCAATATGAAATGTGTTTTTACATAGTGGTCGTAGAAAAAAAATATTTTAGCCTTTTTTAAAGAACAAAAGAAAAAGTTGTATATAGAATTTTTACTATTTTACAATTAAATTTTGCATTTCTGATACATACAATTCTTGACTAGAATAGAAAGATATCACTTTAAAAAGCATTAAAAAATATACAGGAACTCTTTTTAATATATAAGAGTTATGTATTTTAACACTTAACTTTGTTTTATTTAATTTTGTAAGATGTTACAAAGGATGTATACGTGTCTGGCATTTTGCAATGGGATGTGACCTTAACGATAATAAACGTAAAATATTTTAAAGAAAACTTGTTGGAACAAACTGAAAATATATCAGTTAGGTTGAAATATGTTTATCTAGCGTTGAAAGGACAATGTGGTAATTTTAGAGGTCAATTTGCATTGAAAGAAAATAAATAAATTCCTGGATATTTTGTTCCTAGATATTTTAAATTATTGGGTAACTTTTTTGCTACATTTAACACAATTTAAATTTAAATACATTACTATTGTATACAATTATAGAATTAAAACTTCAGAAATCAACTAATTTGTCTCCAAACACCGAATAAGTAATAACAATTTTTGGATTAAAATTTTGATTGTTTTATCAACAGTATTGTTTAAAATCAAGGCTTTGGAAATAGGAGTAAAGCAATTTACCTACTCGTTTATAATGCAGAATCTAATGCTTTAGTTCTATGGTGACTTTACCAAATTTTAGATAAATTTCTATTCTTTACTTAGGGCCAGTTTATCAATCTCTGGTTAAGTTCCAGTTAGTCTATCTGACAGTTAAATTCCATATCGATCGTTGTGAGAACAATGGTATCCATGGAGAATATCTGCCAGATAACTAACTACAACTTAAACTGGACATTGATAAACCGGCCCTTAATAAATTTGTCAAATTTAAAAAGGTAAACAGATTGCCTAAATATTTAGTCAAAATCTCAGTTAATCAGTTAGGTACGGAAATTTTGCTTTTGATTTAGGTAATTTACCCTAATCAAATTCATGAACTCATTTAGTAAATTCCTTTAAATATTAGTGACTTATTTGTCATCGCCTACGATCGATATATTATATACCTATATAGATACATTATATACCTATATAGAGAATTAGTGGAATTTCACTAGAAAATTAGTAAAAAATTATCGAAAAAATAAGAGGATTTTCACTTATAATACCACAAGAGCTTCAAAATTATCGGGTATTTTTCCCGATAGGTTCGTTGCAAACAAATGAAGGAGTCAAGTTTTTCAGGTTAAAAAATCACGAGCGCGAAGCGCGAGTGATTTTTCCTGAAAAACTTGACGACTTTATTTGTTTGCAGGGAACCTTGAGGGAAATGCCAGATAATTTTGAAGCTCGTGTGGTATTCGGGGGATTATTTTTCCGTCCCAAATGTCGGCCAATAGAATTGCACCATGTACAGTTAACAAATAAGAATTTCATAATGAATAAAACAACATTTAATTAAGATTTAATTTGTTTTTTATATATAGCAACTACCAGAGAAAATTTTCAAAAAATTATCGCTGTAATTCGCTGTAGGTTCCCTCAACAACAATGCCTCAACAATGTCCCAACAATACAGAGAACTGTCAAAAAAAATAATCACTTATAATACCACAAGAGCTTCAAAATTATCGGGTATTTTTCCCGATAGGTTCGTTGCAAACAAATGAAGGAGTCAAGTTTTTCAGGTTAAAATTTTTCCTGAAAAACTTGACGACTTTATTTGTTTGCAGGGAACCTTGAGGGAAATGCCAGATAATTTTGAAGCTCGTGTGGTATTCGGGGGATTATTTTTCCGTCCCAAATGTCGGCCAATAGAATTGCACCATGAGACGAAATGTACAGTTAACAAATAAGAATTTCATAATGAATAAAACAACATTTAATTAAGATTTAATTTGTTTTTTATATAGCAACTACCAGAGAAAATTTTCAAAAAATTATCGCTGTAATTCGCTGTAGGTTCCCTCAACAACAATGCCTCAACAATGTCCCAACAATACAGAGAACTGTCAAAAAAAATAATCAATAAAAATATATATAATTTGCCTGAAATCTACCTAGAAATTTAAGCAAGTTGCCTTAGAAACAGGAAATTTATTCTTTTAATCTCAGGCAACTTTCCTAACGATTTAAGTTGTAACATCTTTGAAACAGTAATTTTGTTTAACTAATTATGGCACTTTCTTTAAAATTATCAGTTAAATAGTTTAGTAATTTAAAAAGATAATATTCCTTAGAATTTATTTTAAGCAGCTTGCCTAAAAAAATCAATGGTCCTATAAGTATATGTAGTGTACTTTTTTTTGGCAAAAATTAGCTAATTTTGAACATTGAAACTGTTTTACTTTGGTACCTTTGCACAATCACTATTATAAAATCATAAACAGGTAATTTTTTATTAATGTTAGATTGCACAAAAATGCATACGATGCATTCCTTAACTTGTTTGTGTTCACCTTTTCTTGATAAAGCACGAACACTTAAAATTTCACATTAATCAGAAAACTGCAAATTAACCAGAATATAAATGTCAACAGTGTTTAGTTGTAATCGACAACAAGTATTTACATAATTTTTACATAAACTACTCGAACCGTTTGTATATTTGCATTTGGTTGATAACACTGGTTTACAGCCAAAATGTACATGCCACTATTTTTTTATGTTTTTTGACCCTCTGAACTCAAAAATCACAATCCATTTTTTTTGTCCATATTTTTTTAAACGGCCCACCTGGTTGAAAAAAGGTGTCAAACTAAACATAATCGAATCGTCTGTAAATATCACTCTCTTAATGGAGCTAGAACCATTAATTAAGAAGAACTATAATTAAATGTTAGAGGACTGTTTTAAGGTTTGTATATATATATAATTATTTACAACTTTGTTAACTATTCTATAGTATACTTATGGTAAACTTATAAATTAAAGAAAGTCTATATTTGTTAAAATTATTTCTTTTAGCCTTCATTATTTTTCTATGCAGGTAACAATAAAAACTTCAAATCCATCACTTTTTTAACCAGTTTATTAATTAACGTTAATTTACCACCAAGTTAAAATATATTTGGTAAAATATAACTTGTTGGTTAATTTACCAAAAAGTTATATCAAAAGTTAACTAAACCAAAAATCTAAAAAACTAACTGGTCTTAACCATTTTCAAAGGTTAAAATTAGAATTTAATAAAACGCTATGTAACTTCTAAAATAACCTACTTTTTAACTTATAAGTAATATTCCTAACTAGTTAAATATTTGGTTTATTTAAACTCTTGAAATAACCTTAATTTACCTTTAGATAGGTTCAAAAATAACCTACTTTTTAAGTAAGTAATAATACTAACTAGTTAAATATTTGGTTTATTTATATTATAGTCGATTTTAACTGTTGAAATAACCTTAATTTACGTATAGGTAGTTAAATTATACAAAAAATAACCTTTGAATTTACCTTAAAGTGACATTAAAAAATGTTAATGGTTGAATACAACTAATTGGTTAAAACGCAAGTTTAAAAAACCGTTATTTTACTTAGTTTTTGGTTAATTTACTTAAAATGCTAGTTATTTATTAACCAGTTGCGCTATTTGGGCTCTCAACAATTATTATTATTAGCACCCTATAATAGGGAGCTTAATTTTTAAGATATTATGTTATATTTTTAATAAAAACCAATTTTATCTATTTATTTAATCTTTAATATTGAAAATCAATATATTGATTTTTTAATAAAATTGGACTTAATCCATTTAACCTTTGAAATTACTTTACTTACTACATACTTTAGATTATAATTTAGGTGCACTAAGAGTAAATTTAAACATTTTAATATTTATTACTCTTAAATAAACATTGGAATTTATTTATTAAAACAATTAGGGGCAAAATAATTTATTACCTTCAAAATTTATTGCATTCAAATAAAAGTATTGAAATTTATTAAAAAAACAAAGGTTAGGAATTTTACAGGTAAAGTAAGTTAGTGAGTAAGTAGGTCTACTATTTTCTACAAACACTCACTGGCCAGAATTTTAATGTTGATTTCCTCGCGAACCTCTCATCTGATTTTAATGTTTTTTTTTAAATTGTAGATTGACTCTTCAGTATGAGGCGCCGTTTGTGCCATAATTATGTTGCTAATATATATTTATTTTTGTTTGATTATATATATTTTTTAAATTTATTTTTAAATTTACTTAATATATTTATTATTTTACTTAAAATATATTTATTTTGTAAGAACAATATATTTATTTTTGTGTGTTAATATTAATTATATTATAATAATATTATTAATAATATTATGTTTTTTTGACATCTGCTAATATATATTTGTTTTTTTGACAGACAATTCAATGTGGCAACGTGGCATTGTCATTTAACCCGTTGTTCATAGATGTCGTTGTTCTTTTAAGTTTACAGTCATTTAACCCGTTGTTCATAGATGTCGTAGTTTTTTTAGTAGTTTACTGGTGTTTTACCGGCAATAATTTTTGAGGTTAGATTCTATCAGCGATTGTTTTTATTTATAAACGAAAGAAATAGTGAAGACGGTAAATTTTAAGCGGTTATTTAAAACAGGTAAATACCTAATAAATTTTTTTTTATTAATTTTATAGAATATTTTTTGTAAAAGCGAAATTTTAGTAATAATGGAAAGAAGTATTGAAAATATTGTGTCGCAAATTTTGCAAAGTCCAGAGTTGCGTAGCACACTTGAAAACACAGTAAGAAATATACAAAATCCCAGACCATCAACCACATCCTTATTAAACGTTTCTCCATCACCAAGAACATTTAATTCACCAGCAGAGATTTTGCACCCATCATTGTCTGTTTCCCAGGAATTACATAGAGCTTTCCCTAGTATTAGACCCTCAACAAATAGTACTCCAGGAAGTTCTAGAAGGGGTAGTAAACGAAAGAGGAATCCAGAAGTTTATTTCTGTAAAGATGTAATTTTAGTCAAGTGTCCAAATGAAGATAAAACCTTAAGAGGGATAAGCAAATCTTATGCATTTGAAAAAGGTAAGAGATGATCTTACATACCTATATCGAGGGGTCAACCACCCAAAGGGAAAACGTCCAGGGATTCCCATGTATTCCCATTATATTTTATTGTATTCCTATGTATTCCTATGGTATTCCCCTCTAAAATGTCCAGGGATTCCCAGGTGTGGGTGACCCCTCGACCTATATTAATATAGATAACTACAAAGGACCATTTTTTAAAGATCTTATAATCAGTGCTGTTTTAACTTTAAGAAAATATTAATATAAAAGTGTGAAAAAAATTGTTTTTTTGACACCCTGTATTTTGGAAACGGTACGTCAGAGAAACTTTTTGTATTTGAAAAAAAAATCTTGTATTTATGCCAACTTAGTTGGCCCAACTATCACCCCACGAGAGATTGACATAGTTAGCATTTAAACCCTGTATAGTATACTTATACAGGGTGTTTCTTAATATGATGTACAAACAAAAGGGGGGGATTCTTTGGATTATTTTAAATCTAAAAGTTCATATGAACATAGGTCCGCAAACGCTTCGTTACCGATCTACAGGGTGTTAAAGTTTTAAGATTTTTTTGGTTTTTATTTTATAACTTTTGCATTTTTTAAGTTAGTAATTGTAAATTTGAGATATAGGTTACGCTGTAGGGCTTTCATCATTGGGCATGCCAAATAGTGATAAAAATCTACAGGGCAATATTTTTCCCACCCAGAATTTTTTTGCGGTGCACCGCTGGTAGATTCTAAAATACAAAATAAAGTTTATGATTTGTTTAAAAACTTTTTGGTATCCTAAAGTTTTTTCGTATCTGCTACCGTTATCGAGAAAAAAAATAAATAACAATTTTGTGTTATTCGCTGGATGAAATTAGGTTTTTTTAAAAGGTGTGGTTGGCTTTTAAATATAACTTGGTTAATTCATTTCTACAATTTATTCTTTACCACGGTCCTTGAAATATTAACATTTTCTCCTGAAACACCCCGTATAAAAAAACTTTTTGGCTTATTTAAACTTTTATAAAAAATAATTTTATTTAAACAACAAAATTCTGAAAAAAGATTTAACGTTGTCTAAACGTGGGAAAACGTTATTTTCTACATTAAACGTTAGGTTCTAACATAAAAATCTACATTCAAAAACGTCGGAAAGTGGAAAAACGTTATTTTCTACCAGAGAGTACATTATGTTATAGGGTATGCTGTGTCAAATGTAGAATTTAATATTAATTGGACGTTTGAAGAAACGCTTGCCTTCATTAAAATGCTATTTAACAAACATTTAGCTGAAGTGGACTGCGAGATTATGGTTCCCATGGGTGGTAGGCTGGTTAGACCAAGTCTGCCACCTGGTAAGGAATTGGATGGTAGGTCCCTGAAATCGATTTTTTATCAAAAAACAGTTTATATAAGGCCTTCAATAGCACTTTCTGGTAGTGATATTGAAGATGAAGAAGGTAAAACAACGACTTAGAACTAAAACATAGAAATGGACTTACCTGAACCATCCAATTCTGAACAGGACGTGATGAATGATAATATAACTGACGTAAGTCCCACATATTGCTATTCTAAATAACGTATATTTTACTGGTTTTTAGGATTATGATAATTTGTTCAAAACCGATTTAGAATTAGCAATAAAAAACAGCCTTAATGAGGTAAATGATAAACAGGAGAAAACATTGAAAGACATTATTCAAGATTTGAAGGATAAGATTAATGATGACCGAATAACTCAAATTAATGTTTATAGAGAAGATATATTTAATTGCTGCCTAAGAGCAATTAATAGAAAATCATTTAATCCATTTAATAAAATTTCTTGTAAATTTAGCGACATCGAAGGTCGTTCTGAAGAGGCGGTTGATTTAGGAGGCCCCTCACGAGAGGTATTTCGCCTAGTAATTGAATATCTACAAAACAGTAGGCTTTTTTTTGGTGATAAAAAAAAATCAATTCAGTTGGATCAAGAATCAATGGAAAAAGGTCATTATTTAGGCGCAGGTCGTTTAATATCATTATCCCTTATTCATGGAGGGCCTGTACCCCATTTTTTTACGGAAAGTCTTTTTTCTCTTTTAACTTCGGGACCTGCAGACAATGTTCCTAATGTAGACGATTTGGAGGAGGATATAAAAAAAAAAGTTTTGAAATTAAATGAAATAGAAGATATTAACGTGCTCCAAGATTATGTGACAGAAGAACCTATATTTGCGATAGCAGGTTGTCATTTTATAAAAAGTATGGAAGAGAAGCAAACGGTATTTAGAGGTAATGGTAATTTTCAAACAATGGAATATTTTTTTATACATTATTTTTTAGACATTGTACAATTTTACGGTTTTCACCGAGTTCGACCTGCGTTGAAGCAACTAAAAAATGGGCTAGAAACAGGAAATGTGCTGAATTTGATGAAAAAGTATCCAGAGGTTTTTAAAAAAGTTATGTGTGGAGACAAAATTGAACTCACTGCCGATTTCATGCAGAATTTGTTTTCGGTAGAGTTTTCGGAAATTGGGAGTTCAAAACGATTGATCGAAAACAGAATTATATCATTTTGGCGTGACTTCATCTTAGACTGCAGTGGTATGTATAGCAAGTTTTATTTTTCTATTGTTTATATCTAGTTTTATGTAGAGGAGAATAGCGAAGTCGACTTGCAAAAAATTTTAATATTTTGCACTGGTGCCGATGAACTGCCACCACTAGGGTTCCATGAGGTACCAAAAATAATGTTCCTTCATGATGAAAACGTCTACCCAAGATCCAACACATGTGCGTTACAGTTGCATCTTCCAACTGTTCAGAAAACGTACGCGGATTTTAGCAAAGATGTCAAGTTTGGTATTGGCAATGCAGACCAATTTGGTTTTGCTTAATATTTTAATACTTAAGTACATTTTTTATTTTTAAATTATCACAGCTCAAAAAACCTAACTTAATTTTTGGACGTAGATTACGAATCCGAGCTTAGTTTAGCTAGCTGAATCAGGTCAAAAACTAAAGATATAAATACAGGATCGAGTTGTAAATAGGAACAAATTAATTATTCTTTGTTAAAAAAATTAAATTCCAATAAAAAAATTGCATTAAATGTACAGGGCGCTTAGAAATTAAGAATGCATGGAAATGCTTCAACAGTGTTTTACGAAAAAATTCATTTTTCATAAAAAGTCCACATACGAAATAATATATTTTATTTTATTATTTATTATATTTTAATATAAAAATAATAATGTTAAAATAGAAATTTTTATTACGAATTTTGACTTTAAATATTTAAAAATTTTCTATAAAATAAAGGATTTTTAAGTCTACATAATTTCTGAGTACTCTGAGCATTTAATTCCATTTTTTATGTAAATCTAATTTTTTAAATAATCAGGAGTTTTAATGAATTTTTTTTCGCAAAATGCAGGGTACTTCTCTGTTGACGCATTTTCTTGTTATAATATCTGGGCACCCTGTATATTTGATTCAATAATTTTAGGGCAATTCATTTTTTAAACAAGCAAGGGTTTTGATGCAGTTTTCAATCTGGGGACACACCGTATAGGTATATTTTATTTTTGACCTGATACAGGGTATATCATACAGTTAAACTGAGCACGGATTTGTAATCTACAACCAAAAATTAAGTTTAGGTACCCATCCACTAAGAAATTTTAACGTTAATTTCACAATAAAAAAAATTACCCTTTAATTTATTTTTATTACTTTAATCGCAAAATTTTATTAAATAGGATTAAAAATTATTTCACGGGCAATGTTAATCATGACATTTACGTTAAAATTTCTTAGTGGGCGAGTGTTCAGCTGTGATATTTGCACCCCCTCCTGTGTTATTTAGTGGAGTAAGAATTTTTTATTATTTTTGTTTTCAGTTTTTATAAATTATTTTATTTAAATTTTTTATGTAAATGTATAAGAGTTTCTATTTTTCTGTTATAAAGAACAACTTATTTATAAAAATAACTTTTATTTCTATTATTCTACCCATTACCAGTAACAAAACAAAATATTCTAATTAAGTTCATTATTAACAAAAGACTTGATTAAATTGCGTACGCATGTGTATAAATTTATGCCGGAGGCACCATCGTCTATAAGTGGATTAGGCACATGGTTTCTGATCATAGCTAACTGATCATCTGTAAGAGTTATGTCAAAATCGGGAACGACAACATTGTTATCTGTTTCAATTGCTGGGAGTGGACCCAGACAATCGAGTCCATATTCTTGTGGGTTTTCTAAATAGATAGGATCTTCATCTCTTACGCAGCTTCCCGCGATAGTAGCTGCATAAAAGATTTGCACTGGTGATCTGTTTCCTATAAGATAGTAATTAAATTATTAAAACAATTCTATGTAGAGTGAACGGCAATGATGTACTTTTCATATAAAATTTAATAGCTATTTAAAACTAAAAAAGGAAACTTACTTTCTGTACTTAAACCATGATGATTCCACTGTCTTATAAATTCATTTAAGGTACGTAGTATCCGGGGCAGGAACACATAGGACAAACTGAATAGGTCAATTTCGTTATGTTCATCCAAAATTTGTACTTCTTCCATGTACAGAAATAGCTGCTTAAATTGTTTTGAAACCACACGGTTCACCTCTGACCACAATCTTTCAATTCGCTGATTGTGTACAGAGCGCCCAACGATAAAGCTACCTCTGTTACATCCTCGCTCTGTTATCATATATCTGGCTACCCCAATGTTCTCAGTTCCTCGATCGCCCCTCACACGACTTGGTAAACCAAATTGAGAAACACCCTTGCGAAAACAATCCATAACACTTAAAGCTTTGTTGTCATTTAAACAATGTAAATAAATTATCATTCTACTGAAACCATCAATGCAGCCATGAAATACCATTCTGAAGTTAACCAATTTGTGATTGGAGTCAATATGCCTAAATAATGGTATATTAAGTATTAAGGTCAATAGTTTACTAGTTGAATGTTTTTGGGGATTAAGAAAGTAGAGATCACCAAAACATACAAAACCAGTAAAATATACTGATCACATTGCTTATACTATTTTTTGTTGGGACATTTATTAATTGTAATTTATAAATAAAAAATCATCAAAATTGATCAACCTGTTTTTAAATTGCTACAAAAAAAAGGTTTTTTTTAAACAAGCAATGCAATTTTGTATCAAGGTAGGAATATGTTTGTAAAGACTTTTTACAGACACCCTGCATATACACCTGGGGTCTTTTTTATGTTTAAACTTTCAAATATCTCGTAATAAGGACTATGAAAAATAAACATAATCAAATTTCAATCATACATTAGTGCTAAATTATTCCCTCCTCCCTTGTAGGCCTGGTTAGCTTTGAAATCGTAAATGTCGACCCCTATTTCTGTCAGATTCTGATTTGCTAAAAATAGGTATACTACGATTTGCCTGAAAAAAAAAAGATTCATAATAGATGGCGCTGCAATCGACAAAAAAACGATTTATCCTACTAAAAACCTTTAAATACGATTCTGCAATACTTTGCAAAAATACCATATTTTTATTGTAAAATTTAAATATTTTTTTATTAATAAATTAATTAGTCCTAAAACAAATTACATTTTCCTAAATTTTCATTTACTGAAAAGAGTCTTTCTAAAAAACTACTCATATCGTAACCTTGTAACAGACGTCTTTTTTGGGGGTACATTCCTGTTGAAAAGTTCCTATAGAATCCAATAAAATGCGACAAAAGCCTTATAGGAACCGGTTTTTGTCGCATTTTATTGGATTCTATAGGAATTTTTCAAAAGGGATGGTCAATGCGATTTTCTTTTCTTATTTATCGGAATGTTTCCAGTTGTTCCAAATGTAAATGAACATTTGAGAAATAGAATTTGTTTTAAGACTAAATCTGTACCTGAGAGCCAAAGAGTATTAAGTTCGTTTTTTTAACAATTTTGTAATTTTAATAATATGGTCTCCAAATAATAAAATTTAAGGTTCTTTGTTGAAAAAAAAAATGTGTATGTCAGCTCTGACGCACGACTGGAGTTTACTCCTTAAGCCCTTTCATTTGATACCCATATTGTAGGAGTGCTTTAAAAATAATTAGTCCGCCATATTGGATTTAGAGTAACGTCACTTTATTTTTCAAGGAAACTCCAATAATATAAAATTGTTTAAACAAATTAAAAATTTGTTTGTCGCTCTTATGGCCACCACTGTATATGTACTTATGGCCACCACTGCAGTTTTCTGTATTAGCAGCAGTGACGCATAAAAGATATACCTACATGTAGGTATATCTTTTATGCGTCACTGCTGCTAATACAGAAAACTATGTGTGCGGCCATATTGGATTTAGAATGACGTCACTTCCGTTACGCATCCCATTTATAAATGGGATGCGTAACGGAAGTGACGTCATTCTAGTTAACGCTCGATTTTACTCCTCATAAAATTTCATACCGCGGGCTTAATATGAAAATCGTTTCTTAAGGAGTAAACTCCAAAAAATCTCCAAAACTCCATTGACTTTTGTCCTTTGGCCAATAAGGACTCTATATTATTTGAATACATTAAAATCACAAAATCTCTTTAAAAGTGACCCAGGTAGCACAACGTGACATTAAAAATTGGAAGTGACGAAAACGAGACAATATTTCGTTACGATTAAGGAAATTTTAATAAAAAGTAAATAAATTGCGTGACGCCAAATTCGTGACGAGGGGTCTATGAAAATACGTGACGAATTTTTTCATAAAGTCGTTAGTTACACGAAATAGTGATAATTTTACTTTAAATTTTGGTATAAAATTCTTGACGTGCAGCTCGTTACAAAAACGTTACAAAATATTTATACAAATCGTCACGAAAACATCACGTAAAGTCGTGACACCAATGCGCAGTCGCCAATGTTCTGTGCATCTCCATCAGATATAAAGTAGGATCTCCATTTTGAATGTTTGGTAACGACCCAAGCCATTGGTTTCTGTAGGTTTTTCTATATTTCTGCAAAGTTTTTAATGGTAAACAAAAGGATAGTTTAAAACCGTAAGTACTTTTGCTTTTCTATATTTCAGTAGCTTAAGACAATTGTCTGCAAAGCTAAACAACTCCACACTCTAATCTAAGAAATGTTTTGCTGTTAGCAACTTAATATAAGTAACCACAACATTTTTAGTGTGTCAATATATCCTTAACAAATTTATTATTAGGTATAGCTTAAGTATTTTAAGTTGAATTTCTACTGAAAGAGGATAAAATACATTTTTTTGTACGTGAAATAAATTTTAATGAAGCCATGGAGAAAACTACTTATTTCTTATGATCATTTTGCAGGTCAATAAAAATTAAAAAAATGGTAACCAACATAACATAGACTGTTTTACAGTCGACACTCTGGACACACTCCACACAACTGGATAGGGGCGAACGAAAACTTTAGACTAAAAGACATAATATTATTGATGGTAAACACAATTGTCTTGGGTTGTCTCGGGGGAAAGAAATATTACAAAGGATGACGTTGAAAAGCACATTATGGATGCCTTCCAGCATACATATGATAAGATGAAATCACAGGTTTGTACTTCAGCTGAACCCTAGTTTTATTTAAGTAAGTTTATTATAAATAAATGTTGCAGTTAAAGAAACTGCAGAAATAAAATAAAAATTTTATACTAAATGAATTATTAATTGACTTCATTCATTTAATTTTTTAATTTATAAGAGAAATAGGTACTTGTTTATTTTGTTTTACTGTTTTTTATATTAGGTATATTCTAATAAAATAGTGTTTTATTCTACAGGAGAATTATATTTTTGTGTACTGTTTTATCCTTAAAATAAAAAAATAATTTAATTTTTTTTTCAAAGATGAAATTTGAAAACTAATTGAAATTATTGCTGGTTTTCAAAAGTGTATTTTTATTTTATAAGA